ACCCCCACTGACGTCCCTCGTCTTCATCATTGCTCGCGACGCCACGATAATATTTCTTTACACTTAACTACGCACAAGTACCCGGCCTCCAGACACCCTCCCATAGGGCCGGCGCCGACGGCTCCCCCGCGGCCAGAGACGCCCTCGCTGCTGTGCACGCCGAGAGAAACAGCTGATCTCATGAGATGAGAATAACACGGTATCAGAGGTGACAGTGATACCATCGTGGAAAGATGTACGCTATAAAAGATGTGTTACAAAATTTGTCTGACCGTAAGTTTTTTTTTGTTTTTACTTTGGTAAGTGAGTAAGCGTCTCTGGATGTGGGTTGCGACCGCCCACCCCGGCCCAGCAGAAAGGGTGTGGGAGTGAACTCTATAGTTTAAGACCCTGTATGAACGGGAGGGGGAGCAGAAGACCTCCCCCCCTCCTCATGCCCATATCAAACTACCAACTTGATCTAGATTAAGTTTAGGTTAAATTTCACCAACATAAGTTCCGAGGGCCTCGCGGTCAGGACTTGCCCTCGTCCAAGTTCATCCGGGACAACAGAAGAACGAAAACTTGCACAACATCAAGCAAGTAATTTGACGATGGTTAACTCATGCCTAAATCTAACACACTGGTTCTCACAACTTAACTTTACAAGAAAAGAAAATGGAAAATAATCATAAGTAATCATAAAACAAAATTATACTACTAAAAAAAACAATCTGCTCCGTTCAAAGTGATCTCCGGAAGCAAATTGATCCCTGAATTTCTGACTGGACACGTTGTAAGAAGTTAACAAAGACCAGCTTTTACACTGAACCATAAACACTTCTATCATAAGACCCACATTTGCTCGACATAATCACGTGCACTAACAGGCTTGATGTTGGTGAAAACTGTCGAGCTCCGCTTCAGTGGCCTTTCACATCTACCACAGGCGGGTCCTCTCGCGCGCGACGCAAGGGCCGCCGCCTCCTGCAAGCTCTTACGTTCGTCACTCAAGCATTACACAAGTTCTCGAGGCATGACCTGCTGCTCAACGGAGTAGTCTTATCACTGGAAGCATGAAATCATTCTGTTTCTTAGGACAGATAATATGATAACACATCACTGTGGAAGTATTGATTTGTATGCGAGCGTAACTGGATAAGCTGGGATCTGATGTTGCTGTGGGCGTCATCTGCAATCTGTGCAACAAACCACAGGAACACACATGCACACACGAACACCCTGGGAGAGGAACACCGGTTGTTCTTCTTTTGAACCGGTGAACATGAGAGGAGAGGAACACCGGTTGCTCTTCCTTTGAACCGGAGAGTTTCTTACGCACACCGGGCGGGGCGGCATCGCACACGCCCACCGCCCTCGCCGCGCCCACTATTGCACAATGCCCTCGTATGCCACCCGTCGGGTAACACTCTGATAAACATGCCGTCCGCAGGGAAGTGCAAGCATACAGGGAAGAATGGAAGAGGCTGACAGACGCTGCTGGGGAGAAGGGGACGGCTGAGGAGGGCGGCCTCGGCGGGGGAAAGTCTTACATAATATTGCACACACTCCTGAGACGAGGGGCCAGGGTCGCCCTCCTGCCGGTGGCGCGACGGAAGGGAAAGGACAGAGAAAGTTTAGTTGTGAAAGACGTCGTTATTATCGTCATCCCTGAGCAACAACGAGTGTGGGTAGGGTCCGGGCGGGGTCAGGCGGGCGTACAGACGCCCGTCGTCTAACTCTACCGCGGGCGGCGTCCACCCCCTGACCCGCGCGGGCCGATTTGCCTCCGTGTGCCAGCATGGCCCTCCTCCGGCCCGCCCATGGCCGCGCCGAGTCCCTCAGCCAAAGTGCGGCCCGAAGGTAACATCCGCTGTGATACATCGCTCTCTCGCGAGGCATCTCGGCGCGACAATGGGAGGGAACAAAGGCGGGGAAATGCACGGAGACTAGGAACTAATGAAGGCGGAGAGGCCGGGCCACGGCGCCGCATGGCCTCTCCTAATGGAATGTCTGTTGGCAGGATGTACCGGCGGAGCGACGGCCGCCTCCTCTCCGTCGCTGCATCGTTAGAACCACACAAATACTCTCATGACTCCGCACGCGGAATTATAACACGCAAGCATGGCAAGAACCGGCGGCGGAGACAGGCGGAGTACAATTACCCTCCGCGAGTTCCGTCCGCGCGGCCATAACGGCGGTGAAACGTGATCGAGGCTTCCCGGAATGGGATTCACGGCCTCAGCGGGGGTTCGGAGGCCTCAAAGCGCGGGGTTCAATCGCCCACAAAATCTTCCCTTTTGTGCTTCATTTGGCACATTCTACTTGTTTGCGAAATCTTCTCCTTTCCTCGAGAGTTGTAAACACGGGTTGGGATCCTCCTCCTCCTCCTCCTCCTCCTTCGCCGGCGCAAGCCAAGCGTATGAAATAGGTCATGGAAGGCTGCGTTGGCTTATCGTCACTAATCGGTAACTGTAGTGAACTGGTTCAAATAGATTTCCAATGGTGATAAAAGTGACGCATGAAAATGTGGCAAAACTTTAACACAGTATAAAGATAAAGAAGAAAACGTTGACGTGGCAAAGACGTTAGGAGAAAAGGGAAGAAAGCAAGGTGTGCAAAAAGCCAGTTGTTCGCGCACGTCCCTCGTCGCCTCGTGAGGGCCCGCATGTGAAAGTCATTACCGGCTTACCCGCCGCGGCCGCACAAACACGTTCCCGAGCGCTAAGCTACAAGGCCGCGCCCCGTCCACCCGTTGTGCGTCGGCCGCTACCTGCTCCGCGCCCTCGTTAATCATCTTCGGGAACGGTTTCGCGATCGTTTAGAAAATGAAGATCGAAAGAACGGCAAACGAAAGTGTTCGCGAAAGGAACCGCCGTCGAGAGGGCTTCCTCCCCCCCGACGACGAAGGACCCCGATGCTGGCGATTCTTTCGGCCGCCGGGAAACGCGTGGCTCGGCTCGGCGCACGAGTAATGAGGGGCCTTTCACCCGCGGACGGACGACTGGCCTTCCTCAAACGCGCAAACATCATTCGCTCCAAATAACCCCCTTTCCCCCTCTCCCTCCCCCTTCCCGCCCACAAAACCCGTAATTTCAGCACATACATGACCGACCAAAACGAAGGAATACATGAATTACAAAAAAATAAGAAAACCATACCCGCCCCCTCGAAAAAAAAATCCAAGAATCCTTCTCGTGAAAACAAGAGGCGTGTCATGGGTTTACGCGAAGAGGTCCCCGGGAATAACACATCGTTGGAGGAGGGGGAGGTAGGGGATGGAGGAGGGGTGGGAGTGGGGGACGAAGGGCGGGGGATGGGGAGGATGGGAGAGCGCGGGACGGAGGGAGTTCCCCCAGCGGGTCCCTTTCGCACAAAGGTGGTCGGAATTCGCGAAGGCCACGCCGCTCCGCTGTAACAAATAGAAGTGCAAATTTACCGGACCGACAGGCTGTAAAATGAACCCTCCCTGAACCCAAGCTGCTGCCCGGCCTTTCTCCCGAGATTACACCCACTTGACGAAGGACAGAAGGACTAAAAGGGAACGCATGAGGTGGAGGTAGATGTGCAGGTAGATACGTAGGGGGAAGAGAAAAAGAGAAACTAACTTAAGAGAGAGGAGACGTAAAGGAAGGAGGCAGATAGGGAGGGGTGGAGGGGACGGGAGAAGAGAGAAAGGGAGGAAGGAAGCGAGAGAGAGAAAGAAGAATGAGAGAGGGAGGGGGAGGGGAGGGGGAGGGATAGGGGAAGGGGGAGGGGGAGGGAGATGGGGGGGGGAGGGAGGGAGGGATAGAGAGAGAGAGAGACTAACAGAAAAAAACAGGCAGGAAATTAACCAAATAACAGGAAAGAAGAAGAAAAGAGGACGAGAGAAGCAGATAACCCCCGCGCCCTTACGTCAGCGTCTCGGCGAATCGCAAGTGTGACGTGGGCGTGACGGGCGGAGACGGCGCTAAAGTTGAGACTAGAGGGCGGCGCACAACAACTACCGCTTGAACTGCCTTTGCGTTCTACATTTAACCTTCTCTCGTCTCCTGTTGACAGTTGTCTGGCGTTCATTAAGGAGCACATCGCAACATCTGGAAACGTGGGGGTGGGGAAGGGTGGGCGTGGGGGGGAATTGTGGATGTGGGAGGTGGGGGTGGGTTAGGGGGGTTGGTTTTTGATTTTGAGTGGGAATCAGTGGAAGATAAAGAAAGGATAGAGGATTATGGGAAAGAGCGAAAGGCAGAGAAATGAAGAGGGGAAGGATGGAAGGGGAAAGGAAAAAAATGATAAAGAGGGAAAAAAGGACGACAAACATTGCTTCGAGTTTCGGAAACTTTTTGAGAATGACAATGTTTTTTGATACATAATTTCGTGCGACTTTTAGTTAATTTTTTGTATTCAACTCTGTTTGAGATGTTAATAAATGATATATTTCATACACTAGCTTGTCCCGATGAAAACCCTCAGTAATAGTATTAAACACATGAGGAAAGGAGATGCTTTCATTAATCAAATTAAATGTTAGAAAACTGTTAAAGTTGACAGCCTTGAGTCATCTTTCCAGCCGAGTCGTTATACCGCCTTGTCTGGAGCGCCATTAGCGAATTCTGAAATTAGTTCCAGTTTGGCAACGATATTCGTGTGGTTAATGATGCATGCGAGTCGGAAGGAGGCCGAAGGCTTCCAGTCATCTGATTTATCCTTATAGATACCAGGAAAGATGGCGGAGTAAGAAGGGGGGGGGGGTAAAACAGGACGGGGACGGCTCCGCGCTCGTCGCCCGGCGCCCGATATATAAATATTCTCTCAACTCCAACAAGGGGCGCCGGGCGGCGGGCGATAGGTGGCACACAGCACCTCGGCGGTGTGCCGTGCGGGCGTGCAGGCGCGTGGGCGTGTGGTCCGCCCCTGAGGTAGACATGGAGGGCTGATATTGGCTTCAGCGAAGAGTCGCTTCTAGATCAGAGTCCCTGAATCGTTGTCTGCCCTGACGCGGGCGCGGGAAAGGTGTTTCCTGCGGCAGGAGGCGCCCTTCACGACTGCGAGGACATGGGCTCCTCGTCGTCGCTGTGCCGAGGGTACCTGGCGTCGTCGCCTCCGTCGCTCGTCGCGTCGTCGTCACGTGACCCGCCTAGAGAGTCTCGGGAGTAATCGAGGTCCCCGACAGGATACCCCGACACGCTGGACACGGCCGACATCCCCGAGTAATTTCTGTCTCGACGGGTGCTGGCCACGCTGAGGTCCTCCGGCTCCGTCTGCTCCGGGAGGGTGGAGTGGAGGCCCCGCAGGAGGTGGGCGGCGTCGGCCAGGCGTCCGCTGTTCATGAGGCCGCTCATGGGGTGGCTGATCACTCGCCGGGGGTCGCGGCTCTTCCGCTCCCGCCGCTTCTCCAGCTGTAGGGGCTCCTCCTCCAGGAGCGTCGCGGGGGGCGCTAATTCCTCCTCGGGGAAGTCCTCCTCCTCCTCTTCTTCGGGCCCTATGGAGTACGTGTCGCTCTCCGCGAAGGTCGTCTCGCTGTACTGGATGGCCTCCACACGCTTGTCGCTGTCGGGGTCGTTGGGGCATTTGTGGTGGATGAGGTGGTGGCGCCGCCGGTACTTGCCCGAGCACCGCACGCACTCGAACGGCTTCTCGCCCTTGTGGATGAGCATGTGGGCCTTGAGCTGGTTGGAGTCGGAGAACCTCGAGGAGCAGAGCTCGCAGGCGTACGGCCGCTCGCCCGTGTGCACGCGCAAGTGGCGACGGAGGTTGGCTACCTGGACGAACTGGCGGTCGCAATGAGTGCAGTGGTAGGGCTTCTCCCCCGTGTGAAGCCGCATGTGCGTCTTCAGGTGGTGGTCCCGCGTGAATCGCTTGTGGCACTCCTTGCACTCGAAAGGCTTCTCTCCCGTGTGAGTCCGCTCGTGGTTCTGGAGCACGTGTTTGTAGCCAAAACTTCGATTACAGATTTTGCACGTGAACACACGGTCGGGCCGCCCGGCGGAGGCCTTCCGTGCGGGCGTCGTGCTGGTGTACGGGTCCAGGCGGCCGTTGCTCCCGGGCGGGGAGGAGCCGAGAGTGGGCGAGGGCGCCTCCGACCCTAGGCCGCCCGTCGTCGCGGCGGCCGCCAAGGACGCGCCGATGAGATTGGGGTGGCTGAGGGGCGGCGCCAGGGACGGGACCCGCCGATCCCGCTGGACGAAGAGAACGACGCCGGCGACACCGAGCTGCCGCGGCGCCCCGACTCCCCGGCGGAGTCCGGCTTGACGGGCGAGTCGTGGTGCGGCAGGTACGAGCTGGCGGACGTGGTCGCGAGCTTGGACAGAGTTGCGAGGAGTTCCCGCTGACGCACAGAGTCCGCGGCGGCCATGGTGGCCAGGAGGTCCCGCTGGCGCGAGGTGTCGGCGGCGGCCAGCGTGGCGTGGAGGCTGGCCAGCGTGCCCGACGTGGGAGGCAGCACGGGCGGAAGCCCCGAGGGCGGCTGGCCTCCTAGGAACTGGTGAGTGGACCGGGCTGCCGCCAGCGACGCCATCAGGGTGGCGGGGCTGAGGTTGGGCCCGAGTAAGGACGGGTAAAGCATGCCTGCGGCGGCGGCTTGCTGCTGCGAGGAGAGGGCGGCCAGCTGGAGTGGGTGGTGCAGGCCGGGGAAGCCGGGGAGGCCTCCGCCGCCGCCCCCCAGGTGGTGGTGGCCGCCGCTCAGGTGTCTGGTGGCGCCCAGGTGAGCGCCGAGGCTGATGCCCAAGTCCGGCCCGCCCGCCTTGTGGGTGAGGGCGCCGCTGCCGGGGTCCTTGTCGCTATCGCCGCCGTCTTTCATCACTGGACACGTGTCTGCGCCGGGCCCCACGCCTCCCGCCAGCCCTGCAACGCAAGGGAAATGAGGTCAGTGGTGTGCAGGATCTTCAGCCTAATGATCACAGGATACAGCATGCACTACACATCAAAATGGCCAAATCAACTGTTAGATAAAGCTTACAAAATAAATTAATGTACATTACATCTAAGACAGCATTGCATTCACTTCATTTCCTACCACAACTGGCATTTTCCAGCCACTCCAGCATGGAAATACAACACAGAAGCAATATAAAAACAAAAAATAAAAGTTACATTCAAGGATCATCACCGGAGAAACGACAGCATTAATCACTACACATACCAATCAAGTACCTGAATCACGTGATTGCAACGACGCATCTCGCCCCCCTTTTTTAAAACAAGAAATAACCAACGCAGCCAATGCTCTCCTTCTATTTCCGGCCTACCTTAATACCCCCCCCTCCCCCTTCCTCCTCTCTTACCATCAGTGTCCAGCGGAGACAATACACAGAGGAGGGGGGTTCCTGTGGGGTCGTGTCCCCCGTGCCCCGTCATTTGTCACGGGGTCACTTACAGCCTGACACCTCAGGGCGGGCGGAGGCGTGGCTAAAGAAAGTAGCTAGGGGGGGGGGGGAGTAAGGTGTAAAAAAAATAGAAAAGAAAGAAAAACTCTTCCCAAAAATAACTCGACCTGACACGGACGTCTAGCTGCAAAATAATTATTAAATATGCGATAGATAGAAAAAAAGCCTCAACGTACATAGAAAGAAAACATAGCGCGGGAATGAAAATCGAACACGAAAAAACGAAAAAAAAAGTTTGATGAATTTCATCCCGCGCCCACAAGGTGACCAACCCCCCACCCTCCCCTCTCCACGCCCCCTCATCATCACCTCCCCTCCCCCACGCCTTTCGCCCTCCCTCTCCCCTCGACACCCTGTATTGATGAAGAGCGTGCATAAAATGACCAGATTGCAGTCGTAAAACAAGGATTACGCACGAGGGACTCTTCCTTCCCTCTCACCCCCCTCCCCTCTCTTTCTTCCCTCACGGTCAAATCCTCCCCCTAACCTCCCCTCATTTCCTTATCCTCCCTCATCCTCCCTCCTTTCCCTACATCTTATCCTTCCCTCACACTCCATTCCTCACCCTCTCCCCTCTCTCATTCGTCCCCTCATACTCGGATCCCCCTCCTTCCCTCCCTCCTTTTCCTCTCACCCGATTCCTCATCCTCCCTTCCCTTCGTCTTGTCCTTCCCCTCTGTTCTTTCCCCCTTCAATATTTTCCTCCTCTCGCCTCCCCTTCCCTCACTTTCTCTTCCTCGTTTCTTCCAATCAGACAGTGTACGTTAGATCATCTACGCGAAACAAGCACACACGGCACACACAAACAAAACACACACAAGAGCAGGGACATGGCACACACACACACACACACACACATAATTGCTGACACACACAGATACACGGACACACCCACACGCAAAATCATCCACACACCCACAGCCAAACACACACAAACATGCACACAATCATACTCACACCCACAGCCGAACGCACGCACCCCCCCAAAAAAAAAAAAAAAATAATAATAAATAAATAAATAAATAAATAAATAAAAATAAAAAATAAAAAAATACACGCAAGTACACATCCTCATAACTCAACTCCCATCACGCCCGTACTATATCGTAGGTTGAAGAGCACAGGAGGCTGCCACTGAAATTTAATATTCATCGCCTTTTTTCAGCTACGATTATGGTGGGGGAGGGGAGGGGAAGGGAGGAAGGGGGCGGGAGGCCTTTGAGGATTGAGGGGAGAGAGAGAGAGAGAGAGAGAGAGAGGAGAGAGAGAGAGAAGAGAGAAGAGAGAGAGAGAGAGAGAGAGAGAGAGAGAGAAAGAAGAATATGAACTATAGAATCATAGAATAAGAGAATTGAAGAGAGAATGGGAATGAACAGATTTTAGGCGAAAGTATATCATACGAAAACATACACCTGGACAAAATAAAATTCAGAAACGAAGGATAATTCAATTTATTCTCACATGGGAAATATCTGCTTTTTGTGTTAAGGAGTTGCGAGATGAGGAGAGGGAAGAATCGGGAGATGAAGATTGAAGAGGAGGAAGAGAGAGAGGTTGGCGAAGGAGAAAAAGTTTAGGAGGAGAAAAAGGACTGAAGAGAAAGAATAGAACAGAATGAAGCAAGATGTAAAAACGAAAAAAAATCAAGAGATGCAAAAAAAAAAAAAAAAAATCCAAAGGGCTTCCTTTACTGCAGGCCACGAAAAACTCTCGATCGTCCCTTCGTCGGCGAGTCTGTTCCTTCCCGAGGAGGCCCGTCGGCATCTCAAGCATCAGCCAAATTGGAAACCGCACTGCACCCGCCCCGAGAAATTGGTTTCCATGACTTACATTTACATTTATATTGCCGCTAACCACGTGGGGAAATGCCATCTGATTATGTCGCCCGCGCTAGTGCATTTGTGGCAACTGTTTGATCTCCCGAAGACCGGTTGAGGGGAGGGCCTCCGACGCCCGAAGACCGGTTGAGGGGAGGGCCTCCGACGCCCGAAGACCGGTTGAGGGGAGGGCGCAACCGACTCGGTCTTCGCGGCGGGTCCTTCTCTGTGGGTGAGTATCCGCAACTCGGTCTCCGCGACTCGCGTATGGCAACGGCGACCAGGAAAAGATATCAAACGCGACGGAAGAACCTGAAAGATCTGTCCGAATGGCGAATTCCTGAAGTGAGAGCTGCCAAAGAAGGGGAAGAATAATGAGTCTAGAAAAAGGGAAGAGGGAGAAGGAGTCTTTGTAACTCGGTATCGCAACGAGACAATTATGAAAAGATCCGCGGCAGAACACGAGGTGGAAGACCAAATGCTAAAATCCTGAAGTCTAAGGGGAAAAACAATGGATTTACCCAAGAAGGAGAGAGAAGAAGGAAAGATTCTTAGTAACTGACACAATACGTTTTGAAAGTAAGAAAATCCAAAAAGTGAAAATACTCAGGAACAACAACACAACGAGGCGCGTGTATTCAACATAGGCAGCGTTTTCTCGGAAATGTTGGGTTCACGTTACAATGAGGGAGGTATGTTGAGACGATGAATGTCCAAGGTGCTGAAGGAAAGGATCTGTGCATAAGCATGGTCACTTCCTCTATTATGACAGTTCCTCGGTGAATGTCTTTGTAAAGCACTGATTACCCGATTTTATTTCGATCCTAGTACATGATTAGCGGTCGTGGCAACCACAAAGTGCAATCAAATTTATCTGATTACAAAGTATTACGGCAAATACTCATAAACTTTCGTACTCAAAAACTTTCTCTATAGTCCAACTAAATTCACACACACTCGCACACATAAATGCGCGCGCTCGCATGGCACATTCCCATTCCTCATATTCCGAGTAAACATCTATACTCACTCCTTATCAAACCACATTTTCAATATAAAATAAACAAAGAAAAAAGAAAGAAAGAAAGAAAAGCATATACTCTGCCCCTTAGATCACCTTATCCCCTCTCTCTCCCATAATAAAAAAGGGAGATCGCAGTGGGTTATCACAAACTGGCCATTGAAAAAAAAAAAAAAAAAGACAAAAAAAAGTAAGAAAAAAAAAAGATAAAAAAACAAAAAACATATTCTGCCCTTAGATCAAAACAGAGAAAAAAAAGAAAGTAAGAAAAGAAAGAAAGAAAAAAAAAAAACATACTCTGCCCCTTAGATCACCTTCGCAGCATAGCGGCGCGTGGCTGGTCTCAAACAAGAGGCCTTTAGCTATTCTGGCATTCTACCCATTCCCCTTTCAAGAGGCGTTGCCCCATAGTTGATCATTAGTGCTATACTGATCCTTCCCTCCCTCCTCTTCTCTCCCTTCTTTTCCCTCTTCCTCTTTTTTTATTCTCTCGTTTGGTGTTCTCTCTTCCCTCTCCCGCGATCTCGGTCCCTTCTCCCCTCTTTCTTTTGATGAATTTCTCACTCTGTTTATTGTAATTTATCTTTTTTTTTCTCTCCCTATCTCTCTTCCTCTGCCACTTCTCTTTCTCTTTTCTTTCTTTCTTTCGTTCTTTTTCTCTCTCTCCCTCTCTTTTAAAGAATCATTCTTGGCAAATCTTTCATTTTCGTTTTTTTCCCACTTCCTTTTCGTATTTGTGTTTCATATCTTTTTTTTCACAGAGAGGGAAAAACCATGCAATTAAACCCATACAGTTAGAATGGATATTATGGATATGAATAAAATAATAAGTAACATAATATAAAAAAAATAATCTTTAACACTTCAAAAGATTCACAAGCAATAAAAAAAAGTGCACAAAAGAAAAAAAAAAAGGTCTAAAGAATAACTGTAAAGGAAAAGCTCTACCGATACAGTAGTCAGCGAGCTCCAACTTCAGTCAGCTTTCCGGACCAACTCTTTTTGGGGAATGAAACGCCTTCCCTTCCCCTCGATTCAAAGGACTAGCAGCATTTTCCCTCCTCTCCCTCTCCCTCCCTCTCCTCTCTCCCCTCCCTCCTCTTTCTCCTCCTCCACTCCCCTCTCCCTTCCCCTCTTCTCTCTCCTCCTCCCCCTCTCCCTTCCCCTCCCTCCCGCCGCCTCCCCGACCACCCTTCCGCCCCCTGTTCAACTTACCTCGTTTACGAGTGTTCTCACACCCCGCTCTCCTTCGCTCTCCACTTTGAAGTTCACGCTTCTCCCCCGTCTCTCTCTCTCGCCTGTGTACGAATCAATTCAGTAAAACCATCCGGAGCATGAAGTCCCTCTTCCCTCCCCCTCTTTCTCGCCCTCTTTTTCTCTCTTTCTCTCTTTCCCTCTTTTACTTTCTCTCTTCCAGCTTACCAGACCACTACTCTCCCCCGTGCCTAGGCCTAGGAGTGGAAGAGAGGGGAAGAGAAGGGAAAACTGGACGCTGAGGAAAGGGGGGAGGAGGACGAGGAGAAGAGGAAGGAAGAGAGGAAAAGAGGAGACGACGAGAGGAGAAGGAGGGAAGAGAGAGGAAAGAAAGAGGAGGAGAAGGAGGACGAGAGAGCTTGGGCTAACACACGGTAGCCAGTGAAAAAAAAGAGAAAAAAAAAATAGTTACAAACGCTTCTCGCTCGCTCTGTCTAAAAAACAACACGATGGAGATTAATAATGTATGCTCGAAAAGAAAAGAAAAAAGAGAGAGAGAGAGAGAGAAGGAGCAGGGGAAAAGAAACTGTGAAAGAGGGGGAAATGACACAGTGAAAGAGGGGAAAAAAAGGGGTAAACAAGAGAGAAGAGGCCTCTAGGCTGGACCTCTGGAAGGTGTACACGCGCGAGGGGGTTGCTCCAGCGCTATACATCACACAGAAATTCTCGGCCTAGAGAGCAAGGGAGGGAAAGCGGGAGGGTGAGAGAGGAAGAGGGGAAGGAGGAGAGGGAGGAGGGGAGAGAGGGGGGAGGGAGGAGGAGGGAGGAGGGGTGCGGGTGAGGCGGAGGAGAGGGAAAGAGGGGAAGAGGGAGGAGAGGGGAGGGTGATAGAGGAGGAAAAGGAGGGAGCGGGGAGGAGAAAGGAGAGAGGGGGGTAAG